GTGATTGTGTGTGGGTTGTGTCGTGTGGTGCATGTTGGTCTCCCTTTCTTATCTCTCTTCGTTCACTCGTGCCCTCTACATTTCTCTCTCTCTCTCTCTCTCTCTCTCTCTCTCTCTCTCTCTCTCTCTCTCTCTCTCTCTCTCTCTCTCTCTCTCTCTCTCTCTCTCGTTCACTCCCCCTCTCGCTCTATCTCTAACATCCATCCGACCTTTGTTCCACTCATGGAAGACTTCCACACTTTGTTCACCTTTGGAGAAGGGCATGAATGCCTCGGGCTTAAACACCTTTCCATCTTGCAGGAAATTGTCGGGGCTGAATTCATCGGCTAGCTTCCAGACGCGAGGGTCGCGATGCACACACCACAGCAGTCCCACCACCGTGGTGCCTGCGGGGATGGTGTAGCCCCCCAGCTGCACCTCCTCGGTGGTGGCGTGTGGGCTCCCCATGGGAAGCAAGTTCGCATACCTCTGCAAGAATGACGCGGCGGTCATTATTGGAAGTAAAGGCGCGAGTTAACGGGGGACGCTATACGTGTAATTATAGAACATTCGCGTCTAACATGGACTTTTTGGTCCAGTTAACACGGTTTGGAAGAGTGCCCGATAAAGTGGAAACGTGGCTAGGGTAAAGAATAGCGAGGAACAGAACTATTTACACAAATTTTACAACGGTTAGAATACGGTGAAAAAGAAAATTCTAGAACGGTTCCTGACAACAATTTCCAAACAACTATCAGGAGGCAATCCGGTACATTAGAATTGCATTTTCTAAACAAATCTCGTATCACCAAGTTGTAAATCCTGACGAAACGTTTTCAAAAATTATAACGAACACCGCCAAATAACGTAAGCTATAACGATGCGGTATAAAACAGATTACACGGAGCGTGAACGGAAGTATTGCATGCAGGCGGAGTGAGAACGGGGAGTGAAGAGTGTATAGCAATTAAGTGACCGGGGCACTACTTGTACCTGTATCTCGAGGATTGTGGATTCGGTGTTCGGCAAATGCGGCTGATCTTCGAACCCTGGCAGACGATCTCGGCCAACGATTGCATCGATCTCCGCCTGTGCTCTGAGCTGCACGTCCGGATGCATGCAGAGTAGCAAGATGCCCCAAAGGATCGTCTGATGTATGGTCACGTAGCCGGCGCCAAACAGGTCTCCGATTATATGAACCAGCTTGATATCTGCGAGTATGCATATTATCAACAGCTAATAATACCTAATTGTTTATAATATAATAATATTATTAATTTAAATAAAAAGTTAATATAAATTTATAATAATATGATTAGCTCTTGATATCATATCGGTCGGTATATGTCAGCAGTGATGCGTACGGCAAATCGTCATCAAGCTCTCGGATAAGCGATCAGTTTCTTATCGATGTCCAACGTTATCGGGATATGATGCCCCATTTTCCCTTCGTTCTTCTGTCGTCTACATCTTGAATGGGGTAGAAGCACGATCAAGTGCGGTCGGAGTGCCAACGTAGGCATGTACCCGCAAGTGATGTGTAAGCATGTGATAGGATGTAATGAGATGGACGTAGTTGGATGCTTGCATATCCGTCAACAGCCGATGGGATGCCTTCCTGCCCAGCGCATTATTACCTGAGAAGGTTTCTCCTCCGTCCTCCTCCTGTTTACGCAGGAACGCATCGACGTAGTCACGCGTCGTCACCGGATCGTAGGTGGCCCTGTGCTCGCGGATGAACTCCTCAAAGTACGCATCTGTTACGGCGGAGTTTTGTCGCAGCTTCTTCAGGGAATAGTTGAGCCCCGGCACAAACCTGTCGACAAACACGAAGATAAACTGATAGGAAAATACATATCAAACGAAGAGAGAGCAAACTTTAGGTGAAACCAGCGGGTACTGTAAATATAATAGACATAATATGTCTATTATATTTACTATATTGTAATCCGTAGTCGGTAGCCGTACTACTTGTCGACCAGCAATGCATATAGGTACGGTTACCGTCCCAGCAATCACCACGAAGTAAATCCTCGGCACCGTATGTGCATTTTGTGAGTAACGTGACGCAGTGAGTACAGACAGACACACTAGCTGGGCATAATCCTGTACGGGGAAACGCATATGTACATGTTCCGCGTGTTTACGGAAAGCCACGATAACTATTAGTTGTGATGAATGCATAGAGATTGTATAGGTGGTGCAACTACGTTAAGCCGGTGAGAAAGTGTACAAGACTGGAACACTTATATCTCATACTAACCTAAGCAAGGGAAAAAAGTTGAGGATGCTGCCAACTCCGATCAACGAGAAACCCTCCTCCATGATCTCGACATAGTTGTGGAAGGCTGGGTCCTCATGATCGAGTGTCCTTCCAAATACTAGTGCCGCCGCTACGTTAGCAGCGGACTTGGCCAGCGAGCGGTCGGCGTGAACGTCTATCAGTTCACCTGTGTACATGACGCAACGCCGCACCTCTGAGCATGGCCGTACTAATACATCTACTGTGTGTTTATGTGCGTGTGCACGTGCGTGCGTGCGTGCGTATGTACGTGCGTGCGTGCGTGCGTGCGTACGCGCGTGCGAATGTGTGTGCGTGTGCGTGTAAATGCAGGAATAGGTTATGTGTGTATTACCGTATGAGATTAATTACTCCTGGTAGCTGCTATACGTGTGCCTGTATTATGCCGCACTAGTTGCATCATCACTGTCATGAACAGCTTGTCGGTACCGTTGCATTGCGTAAGTTCTGGGAATCGTTACAAATGCACATCATAGCATGTTTTCCCCGGTATATACTCAAATGAGAAGTCACAAGATGTGTTTCAACAAGGGACGACACCCGATGAATAAACAACGTAAAATATTGAATTATGTTAGGGTTAGTGCGTGGTCCAGTGCTCATGTATATGAATCGACTTTGAATTTTACCCATAAAACATTCCCACGGCTACGAACAATCCAGAATTTCCTGAAATACCTTCCCGATGTTTCTATTACGTCTCACCATCGTAAGCTGCGAGCTTGTTCAATAGTACATCCACCTCTCCCTGTATAAGTGACTGTAGACGACTGTGGCCCACTCCTAAGGACTTCATGACGGACATGGCAAACTTGCGGTGAACTTTCCACAGGTGACCCTGCGCGAAGCTGATGCCGGGGAAGAATGCCTCTGAAGCTGACGAGCAAAACTCTGTGTATAGTGTTAAAATAGACCTGCGTTGTAGCCGAAATAGAAACTTCTCACACGACAAGATGTACACACCGTACGCATCTACACACACACAAACAAGCACGCGAGCATACAGACTCGCACACACTCGGGCTACGTCCCTCTTCCTCTTCCGCTTTCTCGTTCTCTCCCCCTCTCCTCTTCTCTCTTTTTCTCCTTCTCTCTCATTCTTCCCCCATCTATTTCAGTTACTACTCTGTCTATTCCACTACATCGCGCGTAGTCCCTTCACCCCTCACAAACATTTCACTTGCCTCTTCTCTCTATCTATCTCTTTCTATTACGCCTCCTCACCTGTTCCCTCGTAGATGGCTCTGAACAGGTACATGTCCGGCCGGCCGGAGAACGCTGGCTGGCTGAACGCCTCGCGTATCAGCCTGTAATCGGTGACGACCACCATCGGCTGCTTGCCCATCATCACGTGAAACACCGGACCGTACCTGCGTCCCAGCCTCTCCAGCGCCAGGTGGGGCTTCGTGCCGAGTGACAGCAGGTTTCCGAGTATCGGCAGCCCCGCGGGACCCGGCGGGAAGTTTGGCGTGCGGCACGCGGCCGGCATCAGCGCGAGGAACGCGCCGATCACTATGGCGACGACGACGCAGATTCTCGCGGAGAACACCGAGCCGAGCGCCGCTGCGAGAATCGGCAGGGATTCGGCGAACGGCAAACTACTCGGTTCCCGGACAGCAGCCGCCGGTAGCGTGTCATCCGCAAACACCGCGAGGCAGCTGGGAACGAGGCTCATGCCGATAACTACGGTCGCGAACGAGTAGAGGTTTGCCGGCGGCCTGTACGAGCGCATCAGCGCCAGAGCGACGGAGATGAGCGCGCCGCACAGCAAGCAGACGACGGCCGACGGTTCCCACCTCGTTAACTCCCACGAAGCGGCCGACGGTTGGCACGCAGCCGACGACGTCTCCCACGTCGCGGCCGACGCGTGACCGTTTGCGGAAGCTGATTGCAGGCGATCCGTGGCGTCGGTGTTTAAGGCGCTAATCATCGTCGTCGGCGATGGAGACGAGATGGAGACTGTGTGGTTGGCTAAGTCTTCTAATGCTTCTAAGTCCTTTCGCGCTTCCTCCTTTCTGCCTTTCTGCCTTCCTCCCTTGTTTTCTCTCTCTCACACTTTAGCTGTCTCTCTCTCTCTCTTTCTTTCTCTCTCTCACTCGGTCTCTCTTTCTTTCTTTCTTGTTTTTTCTCTCTCTCACTCGTTCTCTCTTTCTTTCTTGTTTTCTCTCTCTCTCTTTTTACTCGGTCTCGCTTTCTTTCTCTCTCTCTCTCTCTCTCTCTCTCTCTCTTTCTCTCTCTCTCCCTCTTTCTCTACGTATTCTCCTCTTAACTTCTTCTAACCTCGATGCCTGTAATTAGGATGAGATTGGCGATGCCGGTGCAAACTTCAGACAACTGCAACAGCACAAGGTGAACGCACTAGATGTGCCCGAGTGTAGAACTGATGAAACGCATCTCGCAGCGCTGGCGCTTGCGTCGCGGAAGGTGAGCTGTGTACTTATGATAGCCGCACGAGACGGCAAACCTGTAGACTCTGGCTTGTCACGAAGACTGCGGGAGAGAAGATCAGACCAGTTGCTGCACATTGTGTAAGCGGCTTTTCCGTGTGAATGATGGCGTCCATCGCGGTTGGAGTGGGGGTGTAGGCGTGTAATGGGGTGAGAAAGCCCACTCCTATACTCCTCTAACCCTTCTATAAGAATCAACAGAATTCCAGCCCAACATTAGCCAGTGCACAGTCTGAACATAATGCTATGACGTTGAATGACTATATAGTGCAACCAAGCCCTACGTTCTAAACGATTCCTACCTCTCGGAACAGCCTATATTACACCCTCCCTCCAACCCACAGGATGCAGCGCTGCGGGGAAACAGTATTTATCCTGTCCCCACCACAACAGGTTATATAATACAAAGGAGTGGGCGAGACCAGGTCATTGTAGGATGGTGGCGCTGAACAACAAACTCCCGCCTACCCATTCGGCATTCCCGCCTGTGCAACTTTGCTGATGCAATCAGTCTTATTGTTATTGGCACGGCCCCCTTTTCATAAAGAAGCGGGGGAGTGGAATTTAATGAAAAGCAATGACTTACGTCAATGAGGTACTAATTAATACCACTGGTGAGCATTGCAATGCTGCCGAACTACGCCTGCTAACTTTGTCACCTCCTAATGATTTCGTGTGTGCAAAGAGCGATTAAATGTGCAACGGCAGCACAATTACCTATTTCATTTAACTGTGACACCACAGCGATGCGTTTAGACATGTCGCAATAGCTTCAATGCCCGTAGCGACTATATAGCTTAGCTACGTTTTAACGTTTGTTAAACACACGCACGCATAATAATACGCTTACAGCTTCCTAATATGCTCTTGATATAACGCAATACCTGTTAACCTATCAGAGGGCCATTTACGCCACCAGGTGGCACTGTTCTGTTGGCACTATATCAGAAAATCTTCAGGACTTCGTGTAGTACGAGTGTGCAGTTTCACAATTCTAACCAAAAGTGCACAATCCATGTGCTTATCCACCCTACTAAATAACTTCATTTGCTCTAAAAAATATATACGTAGAGAAACTTTGGCATAACTATCCATGTGCATGCAACATGACGATACAAACAGTTTAAATATACAGTTTTGTGCATGTAAATAAGGAAGACAGGTGGACAGCATAGCTAAACCAGATAACGCCGTATGTACCTTTTTTCTGTTTATTACATATAAACACGTTTAACAGTAGAAAACCTCAAACACCAAAATATATACACCCATTTGTGCAAAGCCCTTACAACCAGCCTAACCAGCCCTAACAACCACAAGTTCCCGAAATTCAGTGCACTGATTAGACATACCTTTAATGTAGACTAACCTAACAGCAGTCGGTATTAGGGGAACACTGCTGATATGATTGCACGGTCACCATACATAAAAGATATCAAAATTAACAATGAATATTTACCAACTCAAAGCCATCAAAATGCTGGAATATTTCACACATGCTAGGAACAGCAATAACGTATTGTGCATAAACTCGACATCTTTCGTCCATTATAGCTGCTAGAAGTCGAGATTCATTTGATTATACAGGCCACATATTACTAACCCTAACTGTGCTCCCAATCACCGTTCATCATTGCACTTCCTGCACTACTGTACAATGCCCTAAGAATAAAGAATACAACTTATCGCACCAATTTCCTTTTTTTAAATAAACGATTGATCGCAGAATCAAAAAACAAACACTACACAGTTGTATTTGTTTTCTGGCGAATGCGTATACAGGATCACACTTTTACCCAAGCAGCTTATTTTCAGTGGTTACATCAGGAGTCTATCAATACTATTGATAGACTCCTGGTTACATCTAGGAACATATGAGAAGTATATCAGGCATACGTGAATTTTCCTTACACCAGCTTTATATAAGCAATGAATGTACAGTTAACGTGTACGTTCAGCAACACAAAGTTTCTCTTTAATCAAGCAAATCTGCAAAATCTTTCTCATTTCATCATGCAAGTTTGATTAAGCATTAGATTGTATTTGTAACACACAACTAGATAACAAATAAAATCTCTAAATTGATATGTCAAAAAACATGACTGCAAGCACATTTCACCCGCTGTACAGTTAAGTAGTATTACCAAAGACAAGAATAATTACTTGGTCAAACTTGCTCCACACTAGTATTTTAATACGTCAAACAGTATGTAAACAATATATTTCAAACCTTCATTGATCAGTGATGAAAATGCTAGAGAGAATACCAATAAACAAGATAATAGAGATCATGTACATTTACATATATCCCCCCAAAATTGTGAATGTTAAAAAAAAAATTTATCACGTGTATGGCATGCAGTACATGCGTTGATGTACTTCCTGCCCTTCAGGGAAGGTGAATAAACAATCCATGCAACAGATAAGTTGTGTTAGATAATTTTATGTGCAATAGTAACAGTTGAAGATGTATGTAACGAGTAGTGCATTTAGACTCAATCAAGCAATGATGCATGTTATCTTACCAACTCATGCTGATATGATACACTTACTTTGGGGACACTGAGTGATACACTTGTATGAAAATGCACCTTTTTATTTACGGGTCAGTCGACTAGTCCTAAAGTTGTTCCTAAACATGCTTGTTTTCAAGTTACAACAACAATAAAACCAAAACCTATGGGTAATGTACAAGGTTTCAGCAGGGACTATGGCAAAATGCCTGTGCCATTGTCTGTACACAGCCCCGATGGGAGTTCGCGCAGGACAAGCATTTTCAAAACGCAGTCTTATAGCACCCTTTATTACCACTTGTCCAGCGCGATACTCATCCCGGTCATACAGCATCATTATGTTGGATTGCTTGGCACGCATCTCCTTCATATCATCACCCGCAGACGTCCTTATCACAAGCAAACACTGAGGTCATCTTTGTCAATAGTGTCACTCATCCCTCTTCGGCTTGGTCTTCCTCTTCCTTGGCGATGAGCCTGAATAATGGTAGAAACATATATGTTAATACGTTCACTACTAATAATTACAGCAGCTAACCTAGATGTAGTCACTAATTTGTCACCTAGAACAGATCATTTCTATACTTAAAATTGGCATCCATGTCCTAAACAGGATCTATTTATGAGTAGCCCACTTCAAACCATTTTCAAAGATAAATAAACTACAACACTATAATTAAAATTATAAAGTATTTGAATTAGTGTACATATAATAAGATATATATGATCATGATACATATTACATAATTAAACACAATATTGATTAGATATAATAAATAGTATGTTTGCATATTGAGTACCATTGATTACTTACAGCTTTTTATCTTAGTATTAGTTTTATGATTTCTTATCTATAACCTTATAATATATAATCTGAACTCTGTAAATGTACTTATTAGCTGTGGTTATGATAGCTAGCCAAACTTTCTCTTCACTGTACTCTTTTTCACACACTAAATAATTTGTAACATCTCACCTGTGTGCCCAGCTTTGGAAGAACCAGCATCTTTCTTACTGGTATCTCCACCTGCCTTGCTGTCATCTGGAATAGCGTCCTCGCTATCTCTACTGGAGCTTTCATCATCTGCCTCCTGGGGGTGAATACACTAATGTAAACTACACGGACACTAACTGTTCACAGAAATTATAGAAGTCACGCCTGCTGAACCACGTCTACGCAAAGCATCTCACTGCAATATATTGTGTCATGATATAACACTTGCCGTGGCTGAATTCTCGCTCCCTGATTTCTGCCCCGATTGGTAATCGTCGTCCTTTTTCTTTTTGGCATCTGCTGTGGATACTTTGGAGGCAGGGAAGACACAGTCGATGCAGCACACAATAAGCTGTAATGAGATGTAGGAGCCAATGTAACATGCTGCCAAAACTTGATCAGTCTACAACGAAGACCGCAAACGAACCACGCATGTCGTGGACTTAGAACTCGCTTCCCGTTTCAGACTAGATAGTTGTTAGCATACGTGGTGATGCCTAAATCGCCTCAGGACAGGTTTTGGTCGATGCAGGGCACTCATGCAGAAATGGGGATACACTAAAGATGGCCTAACCGAATGCGACTGCGGGGAGGACCAGACTATGGGACATCTCCTGAAATGCCCCCTATTACCAGAGCCCTATAGCCCTGGAGACCTTGAGGCTTTCAACCACCGTGCCAGGTCCTGTGTGCTGCAGTGGCTAGGCCGAGTGTAGTGTAGTGACCCGAGAAGAAGAAGAAGAAGAAGAAGCATACCAGACCGAGAATGGATCCAACTATGATCGTTCCGATGGCAAACACCAGGTAAGAAGCCCAGTACGGGAGTCCATACTCGTCCATCAAGGTTGTGTGCAATGCCTGAAGTAAAAAGAGTACACTAGTTACATTAAAATTATGGCTGGATGCAGTTACAGCCAACAAATATTATTTAAATAATAATATTAATAATAATAATAATAATAGCAGCTTTAGAAGAAATGGAGATAGGGTGGGTGAGAATAGAATTAGTATAAAAATACATAGGCAAAACACATACACAAAGGTGCTGTTTGTAGGTTTTACAGTTCAACAGTTTGTATTTTAGATTATATTTACTACTGAAAAAACTTATTGAGTTTAAATTGTACCCAAGATGGTAAAATTGATAACTGATAAATTTGCATTTTTGAATGTGGGCACTGAAGAATGTTTTGCAAATTTCATGACAATTAAACATTTTTTACAAATCTATAAATGCTTACCCTTAGAAACATGGATAGCCTAAAGAAAAGACCAAGGCCTCCCATGCTGCAAAAACCAACATGCAATCATCAATTAATGTGACAACAGAACATGATGTTAATTATGACATGCTAGTTTACAGTGATCCCAGACCTACAAATCTGTGTCATGAGATTTCCTTACGAACTCAATACACACTCACCGTGTTAAATCAATCAGTGATTAATATTAAGAGGGGAAAGATAATGGGGAGGATTAAGAAGAGGGGGAAGGAGATGGAGGAGGAGGAGGAAAAGGAGGAGGAGGAGAAGGAAGACGACGAGGAGGAGCAGGAGGAAGAAGAAAAAGAAAAGTTCAAATATGGACTAAAATTCACAAGATTACGACTCAAATCTTATATTCTTACCAGTTCCCTATGCAGATGGAGTATAGGGCAACCAGGAAGAAACACATGAAAAATATATTGCCAAGTTAATTACGATCTACAAGGTAATTACATACTGGATTGAATCAGGGTGTTTCCATGCAGGTAGAGGATCTACAGATGACCATTTTTTCTCCTCGATGTAGGTAATAAGCTCATCTTTGTCTCGAGCCCCATTGTACTGTCTGAACTCACCCTCTTTTACACTGTATAAAATGCAAACATATGACACTACAGGCATTGTGACAGACGTTCAATACTGGTTAAAGAGAGCAGGTATATATCTAGCATAGTATTATATCTACAGGCTTTCAGATTTGAAAAGTATAGGAGGACTACTAATGACTCCCCTAGGACACCATAGGGGGTCTTTTCACGCTCCATAATGACACCCTTAAAACGATCATTGCGAGAATTTTGCTGAGAAAAACTAAATATAGCTGAATATAGTCTCACCTGACAGCGAAAATATCACCGATTACACCAACATTCAAAACACCAATATTTTATGCAGTTATAGCATAGAAAAATTGATTTGACCACATCATGCCAGCAATAAATTTTTTCGAGTCAGGGCTTTCAAAAATCACAAATGGCGTCTCAAACAAGCGAACATAATTAAAAGAAAAGGGCATCTATTTGTGTGTGATAAGTATTCTCGCTGGCCGTACGCAACGAGGATTTGATCCACTTCTCTCTCTGTCTTCGTTATAGTCCCTAGGACTTTTGAAGACTAATATTTATGAGGTTACAACTTACACTCTTGTTTATGTTACGCTACTATGCACCTCTGTGTTTACATCTTACCAAAAATATCTCCGGTGCGATTTTTGCATTACTGCACCCTTGTTGACGTCTCGCGGTACCGCGAGAAAGTGCGAGACATGACAGCGAAAATCAACAAGAGAATGCAAAATTGTAATCGTGCATGATTTTGTCTTTGCATGCGGTTCTAGGACATTTTATTGTTATTTCAAACAATTACTGTTACTCAAGCAACAACGGTAGGCATCATGACAGTGAGAATAAACACTAAAAAACTCGCAATGATCGCTTTAAGAGGCATGATGGAGAGCTCCACTAAAAAATCACACCCTTAAGAGGCATGATGGAGAGCTCCACTAAAAATCACACCCTTAAAAGGGATGATGAAAAGCTCCTTGAGGGGTGTGATGGTGGAATCATGACCAATCCTCAGTCTAGAGTGAAATCCAAAACGAAAATTGGGATGTAATGTCAATCCACTGATTATCATTCATCTTCACCTTCATTCATTCAATGGCTTCGTCATGATTACATTCTTTTCATCCAACAACCCAACACTAGCACACAGATTAATAAAAGAGTTGATCGGATGTAAAAATAAACTTATTTTATTTATTCTGATCTTCATCCTTAGAGACTCTAATCCATGTACCTGCATATTTCAGCATGAAATATCATCACAATCCATCAACAAACTAGCCAAATTACTTGTACGTAGTAGCCACGTATGTAGCCCCTCCAGCCCTACGACCATGTCGGCAGAAAACCACTTCTCGCCACGTATAGTGGAAAACGAGCAGGTAACTTGTGGCTACTGTGTAGGTACCTGTATTTGGATGCTGTTGTCTAGTTGTATAAACCAGAGGGTAGTAACCTGTACCTCTGCCATACGTTCAGTTACTTACACACCACAAATTGTTGTGTGTTGCTAACCTTTTTGTACCCCCCTACATTGACAACTCTATGGAGCGCTATTTCAACAGAATACACATACTTTTGGTGTGCGATTTCAACCACTTTTATGATGCGCGATCGCGCTCCTTAAAAATGAAAGCCTGTATCTAGCATGTTCTGACATTACAGATCATTTCAGCATGTCTTTTATCTCAATGACATGTTTAACAAAACCAGGTTTGTTTCTCGTTTTACTCTAACATTACTTCATAACCTCATAAATATATTAGTCTTCAAGGTCCAATTAACGGACTACATGCAAGATGGAAAGAGACAAAGTTGATCAAATTGACTCATATAACATTAACACAATCTTGAAACATTTGAAAATGCCAAATTCAACGAGTATTTATGGAGACTTGATACCTGCTAAGAAAATTTGGCCTAAGGAAAGGTACAAAATATTCGGTATACTTACTGGAATATAGTTGGCAAGGCAGTAACAACGAATCTGCCACTTAGGCCCGGATTAGCTGTCACATCAACTTGTGCAACGTTGATGCCTAGATCGTCGCTCCAATTTGCAAAATCATTCCAGGTTAGCTCAAGTGACTTGCATGCTGGGCACCATGGAGCATGACTTCATATGAAAGTAAAATAAAGTGATGTGAAGCAGTGCAGCCTATCAAGCCATATGAGTGATGACATTAGCCTGATTAGGAACAAAAATAACACAAGACAACTGACACGCCCGTGACAGAGGAATTACCTTTATTATCTGGATCTGGATAGTTTACTGCGTAGCCCACGGTTACGTGGATTATAACGCAGGGACATTCCGTAAGGAATTAACGTCCAGGGCTATAGCTAGCCATGAGGTGTGACCTAGCTTGGGTAAAGCCAGGTAGTTAGCTTTTTTTAGCCGAATGGCACTGAGGGTGGTCACAGCCAGAGTTCCTTTGCGCCCTCAGTGGTTCTTTTACGTCCCCATATAAAACTATATAATTAGCTAACTTATAACTTTATATAACTTATAAGCTATGTAATTATAAATATAAAGCCTATGTTAAGATCTAGAACGTAACGACGGGTCCTAATTCAGTAATTGACAGAAATGTTTGGATCTCGATACTTACAATTCAACCATCCATTCTCCATCTAACATCCGTCTCCAGTCATTCTCAGTGAGTTGCAAAGCGCCTTTAGCTCTCCCTGCCGCAGAAGCCACAGAGAAAAGTATAACTAAACAGGTTACAAACACAGAGAGTTTAGCCGAAGCGTTAGTAGCCATGTTGCCAAGTGGACCGGATGTGACGACTAAATGACGATCGCCGATTCGTTAGTTCATAGCAAGGCCTTGGTTCATAGAACACTGAACACAGTGTAGGGACGGGTTTCCCGTCTACTACTAGTGACTCCACGACCTGAGCAAATAGGTGTGTCCATAGTAGACTGGTACTCGCTCCCACTTCGATTCCCCCATCGAGTAACTAAGCCGAGAGGTGGGAGCGAGTACCAGTCTATGTCCATAGCACCGTGGATACAAACACGCGCTTTATATAATATATATATATATATCTGATAGGACTGACTCCTGAGCTGTATATAATAGCGGAGTTATAAAAATTATCATAATAGTTCTGAGGTTGATTGGCTTCTTTCCCGGAGGGGGGGAGGGGCGTGGCGAAGGGGCAACTGGGTAGGGGGGTGCCTCGGGGACCTTGAAAACCTGACCCTGTCGCAAACCGCTTTGCGCCCTAAAATACACGCGCCCTAACCCTGTCCCAATATACTGCACTAAAAAGTATACCCTGTTGCAATATTGCACACTTCGGTTATGTCCTGTCCTCCTGTCAATATAGGCAGATATTGGTCCAATATCGGCCTGGCTATTGTTCTGCCAATTTTGGACCAATATCTGCCTATAGTGAACCAATATCTGCCTATAGTGAACCAATATCTGCCTATATTGGTCCAATATTGGCTTGATGATATTGGCCCAATATTGTTTTGCGAATATTAGGTCAATATCAGCTTGATGGGTATAGGTATCTAGATATAACCCTGTCCCAATAATGATGTTCGGAAAATATACCCTGTGCCAATAATGATGTTCGGAAAATATACCCTGTCCAGCAGCACGTCCCCAGTACCTTTAACTGGGGGGGGGAGTGCTCCCCCCTCGGGGGCCTCTTTGAACTTGATTGGCCGCTTTCTTCTTGTCCGCTTTCTCCATGCAAAACCTATATATAATTAAAATTTACCTTACATCGAATTTGTCATGGCCAGGCGAAGATGCCATTCCCTCCGGCTTAATGAAGCCTATTCGTAGCACTCGATCATGATCTGAACGTGATCATCAAGCGTACCATATTCAAAGTGTGACGGGTGTGAAAGGATCCTTTTCAGTTTAGCTTCTTTAATTCTGCCATTCCGTATTGGAATTCTCTCCCCTCCTCTTTAGTTAATTGCAAATTTGAAGCTTTTTCGACCGCGATCCGCAGTGTTGATCTGTCTATTTGATCAGTTGTGTCTCTCTTGGTCCTCGATATAGTCTCTCCGACGACCAATCTTTATGAGGTTAGTAGTTACGGGGTTATTAATTTCAGTGGTCTAAAGATATATAGAAACTCACGTGTTTTTATATATCTATGGTGTGTCCAATCATGTATCGTATACGCAGCATTGGATATATTTAAATATATATAAATATAATAAAAAATATAGATAAAATGGAATAATGTGTTAATTTTTTTCATCTTGCGAGCTTTCGAGGGCATATGTCTCTTCCTCAGGCTTTTTCGGATCCGAAATATTGACAGAACACATTACCAGGCACGACGAGCGCCCAATTTTACTCCTTACTTTTAATTTCACATTAGAATGCGCCCAGACTTCTTGAATTATTCTAAATTGTACTATATAACGTGCGATCTGCGTTTGCGCATGACAAGAATTTTGCAACAGAAATATTTGGTTAAAATTATACATTTAACGCAGACCGTATTCCTGAGTGGTTTGTTGTTAACCAGTGGCGGATCCAGGGGGCACAGGGGGCGGTCGCCCCCTCCCTAGAATTTTCAGGGCAAGGGTATTTTAGCCTAACACCCTTCCCCTCATGCGCTTCGTGCCATTGAGCTCGCATGATTCGCCCCTCCCCCCCCCCCAGCACGATTCGCCCACCTATAGAATTCACTTCTAGACCCGCCACTGGCTAACTATTATGTCTATCCCAATGTTTCACTTTAATACTTATAAAGTATATAACCAGTCCTCTCGAATTTTTCATGGGTTGTGTGCCCCGCGTGATCAGGATTTTCAATAAAACAACAATGTGAAATTAAACCAGTAAAGCAGCCAGTATGCACACACTTCGGAGTAGCTTTATGAATATTATGTAGGCCTATATCCCAATGATTGACTCATTATTATGAACTGTATAGTCTTTATTCATATCTGTACGACCTGTGCCCCAGGATGTCTAGTCTTTTCAAATAAGAAAAAAGATTTTGTTAAAATTACACATTCAAAGAAGGCACATATACTCATGAGTAGTTTGCGTGTAATCTTCTTGAGTTTTCTGTACAATATGTTACATAGGGCTGTGTTCGCGAATGGCTATTACTTGTCATCCGAAATATTAGTTTGAGATTAACATTATCCATTTTATGTATACGTGGGTCGTTTTTATGCACAATTCTGGGACCTATCCGCAAACTTTCAGAAAGAGAACGTACCACATATTCGACGTTGCCGCGGCAGTATATACTCTGCAGTCCTAGTGCCATTTTATTGTTAATTTTTAATCAATTATTTATTATACTGCAATTCCCATCAGCTGTCGTTTAGCTATATAGTGTTTTGTAAGTTATTAAACTGATTTAAACATAACTCAGTGGTTTTGTCTTAAAACGCGCACTACGCACGACTGTTCAGACTAACGTACGTCTTGTTGTTTTGTGCACACTGTCGGCGTGTAACACCAGCGCGAAACTGCTGTCGAGCAACGAGAATTCAGTAATTGCTGCGCAACATACGACGTGCGAGGTTACCGTACTGCCAAACGCAGTCACCACTGACGCGGACGAGTTCGACACCAATGTCCACGCGTAGCTCGAAGTCAAACTTAACGCCAATGTCATATCCGTCTAATCATGACTGTGGCCACGGGTTTAGGATTCATCTGGAAGAAGGCGGGATAGCTGATACGGTAGGAATAGAACCTTTAGATGTGACGAACATTGAATGATAGCATAGATTGGAGAAGAGTTTTATATATATATATATATATATATAACGTATATTATACGGAGAGAGCGCGTAAGTGATAATAAAAAAGATATAGCGGTGCGTGAACTGGCTAACAGGATGGAATATATTACCATGAGCCAAAGTTGGCAGGAATTGATTATACAATTTATGTATAAATGTACGAGAAGAGCGCGTGTGTAAGAATGAATAAGACAACGGTGCCTGAACTGGCTAAAAAGATATATCGATCATGAACCAATATGTTACTGAGTCAAAGTTGGCATGAATTGACTATACAATAGGCTACCTGTGATTAGATAGATATCTGCACACCGTGGCTCCGACCACATATAGAGCCTAGATTTACGTATCAGCATCAGCGAGACCTGTTTAAGACCTGCATGATTTTAAATTTTATATGAATTAAGTTATGATGTATAGATTAGCTGTCTCATCCCACAATGCGCGCAATGCACGATGGTCCAGATTATCGCATTGTTCATGCGCGTATTATCGTCGCAACAGTTCCTTGGCAACCTCTTAATCTGTTGACTTATTGTTTGGTTAACGCGTGTGCAAGAAGGTGATTTGAGATAAGAAAAATAATAAATTCATAGCTAATTGGTCATTAACATCACAAAATGAATAGATTGAAGACGGCTGTAATCGGTGGGCTTCGGTAAGTTGAATACGTTTTGCTAACACTCAAGCAAATATATTATCCAGATTTTAGCCGTTTGTTAGAGAGAGTTAGTATGCTTGGCTGAAAAATCTATAATATTTCTCCTAATAACATATAATTATTTAATATATAATATATATATATATATAATTATATCATATAATTATCATTAATAAATATTATGAATTCATAATCATTATAACAACAATATATCAGCTGATTCCTCTAGTAACAAGCACAATATCTGCAAGCAACGAATAATTATCAAACGGCAATGAACTATAGTTCGTAAAAATAGTTCCGAGCTCTTGATATTGTATAATCATATAAGTCTCTATATTGAGATTATATATTTTATCGTGGGCCAACCACTTTCTTCTAGGCGACTATGCTGTAATGGCATCGAACAACTTGATATGAAAAAAGCTATCTCTTTGCTGATGAAGAAGACACGAAAGCAAGTGAAGTCAGGCACTAGTAAAGATCAGGTAAGCGTAATATTAATTTATATTAATATTATGCTATTGAATTTAAATAGAATGACGACATTGCTTTTATTTGTACGTTTCGTATCTATTCCATCGTATTACCTAGACATTTATATGATGCTATTGTATTTAAATGTGTAATGGTGTTTGGTGCGTATGTATATTGTTATACTACCTCAATATTTTAATTTAAAGCACTTTTGCGATGTTATTATTCTACATGCATTACCCCATCACATCATTATACCTTAATTCAACTAAGAATCCAGTTTCCGAAGCATAACATTAATTAGCATCAGTGTAGTAGAAAACGATTTCCCCGGAAAATGGAAAACACATGAACAGATGTATAAATTACAATAATTCGTTAAACACGAAGCTCTCAGCATGTTGCGTCGCCGCCTGCAGTTCTTCATCAGAGAAGGACGCCGGCACGAACGCATAATAATGCTCGGCGGCATTGTCGAGAAAGACGGTCACGTAGTGCCTGTCGGCGTGCGACGTGGCGGCGTTCTGCTCGGTCCGGCTCGGCAGCTCGAACAGCGAGTCTCCCGAGCCACGGCAGATGATGCGCAGCGGCGCGCCGATGACGGGGTCGACGAAGCGAGGAAGTATGTCCATGAGCACGCTGTCGTACTTGCCCTGCGCGTACTCGGCCAGTGCGAGTGGCAGCGCTCTTCTGTCCTCGTGCGTGAGCCAGTCGAGCTCGCCGCAGCTGTTTGCTGTGTTGAGGATCAGCTCCCGGAGAAGCTGCGGCGGCTTGGCAGTGCTGCCGTGCTCGTGCAGCTTGGCGCCGACCGTGATGGCGTAGACGAAGCACGAGCCGTCGCCGGGCACGTTCAGTAGGCGGCCGCCGCATCCTGATTTGCAGCAGATCAGTTCATTCTCAGCGAGGCGCAGCGCTGCTT